TTGCCAATGATGATCACAATTCCAAGAAAATATTTTAAAAATGAACATTTCCTTTTACTCAAGGCATGGTGTCCTGGAGCTGTCGCTGAGACATGTGAGCTTTACAATAATATACAAGAATAAATTGCTCCCTTTTGCATTGCTGCACAGAGACTGACACAGAGACACACACAGGTCATACAGTGCCTGCCCAGATTAATGGAAGAAAAGACTTGGTCTGATGTGGAGAGATTTGGGGAGAGGAGTAACAAGCACCACCCCCTGTAAGTTCCCCTCCAAGTCACTCAGTAACTAGGCCTGGAGATATATCCCTGTTCCTTCAGTGTCGCTGGGTTAAAATCCTGGAATTCCCTCCCTAAGGGCATTGTTGGTCACCCTACAGCACATGGACTGCAGTGGTTCAAGAAGGCAGCTCACCCCCACCTTCTCAAAGGGCGACTAGGGACGGGCAGTAATCTCCACAAACATGTTGAATAAAAAGGAACAGTAACTATGATTCAGAAACGCTTCATTGACTGTAAAGCACTGGAACTCTCAGTGAATGTGAGTGCCTTTGGAAAGTTGTAAGGTGATATCTAAGTGTAAACTTGATTGGATTTATATGTCCATGCTTGCTGCAAGTATATAACTGAATATGCAATTACCTCTCTGTCGTGAGACAATGGGGAAGCATCTTGTCTGCTATCACTCTCAGAAGGAACTCCCGCCGGTTCATGCTTGGCTGCTGAGTGGCCGAGATGTGTAGTTGGCTCCTTGTGCATGGTATTGAGCCGTTTATTGGTGTGTTTCACCTGTTCTATTTTCTTCTTCACTGTAGACTCCACCTTTGTTGAGCAAATGTGAAAGGTTTAGTGTTCTTCCCCAGTTGGCAGCGGCAAGGCTGTAACCTGATATTCACACCACTGCAGCCTAGTGCCAAGGCCCACTGCCTCTCGGGCAATGGAGCAGAATAGCCCAAGTCGTCATACCAGCGCACATGGGCATCGCTTCTCAACACCGCTCCCAGTCTCCTGGCAGAAATACAAAGGATCTCCATATCCCCTGAAATCCACCCTGAAACAACATGGCCACTCATGGCAGATGGCCAATTATTTTTATGAGCCGTCAGGATGTGGGGGCTCAGACAAGTTTTTACCGCCATGAGAAAGTCACGGTGGATGCCTTTAAGATCTAATGCTCTTCTAATCTAATAAACATCTAATTATTATCTTGCTTCGCCACTTCAGAGGGTATTGGGAATCGGGCAAACAATGTCGGGCAGGAGTCACGTGTAGGTCTGGCAGGGGAACATCAGGAGGTCTCCTTCTTTCGAGGGCCTCAGTGTTGGGATCTGGAGCATTCTCACTGGAAAAGGTGGAGGAAGCCAACTTTCTAAATAATCTGTAAAAGAGCTGGACGAGTCCCTTCGGAATTTACAGAGAGAAGAGTAGGCAAACTGAGACTATGCATGGTGGCTCTTGCAGAGGGCTAGCACAGGAACAATGCACTGAGTGACCTCTTCCTGCACAGAAATGATTCTATCATTCTAAGGTGTTGGCTTTTAGCCACAATCTCACTGCTTCCAGGTCACTTTTACTGATTTCAGAATTTCAAAAACTAAATCCTATTTCTTAGCCTGCCAGGGTGGGTCTCAAACTCAGAACTGGCTGCATTATTAGTTCTGGGCCAGAGAGCACAGTATAAAAATAAGGGCTCTCCAAATTAAGACTGAGATGAGGAAAATTTTTTTCTCTCTGATGGTCATGAGTCTGTGAAGCTCTCTTCCCCAGCGAGCAGTGGAAGTGGGTTCATTGAATATTTTTAAGGCAGAGCGAGGTAGATTTTTCAGCAACAATGGGGTCAAAATATTCAGGGAGGTGTGAGGGAGAAGGGGCAGAGAGGCTGTAAAATGGGATTGAGGCCACAAACAGATCAGCTTTGCTCTCAGTGAATAGCAGAGCAATCATGAGGGGGTGAGGGCTCCTGGTTCAAGTGTTCATATCTCTCTGATTCTGAGGAAGGGTCACCGGACCCAAAACGTTAACTCTGTTTTCTCCTCCACAGATGCTGCGAGACCTGCTGAGTTTTTCCAGCAACTTCTGTTTTTGTTCCTGATTTACAGCATCCGCAGTTCTTTTGGTTTTTATTCTCTGGATCATACTTGTTTTGATCCAGCCTCTCAGCTCTATTGAGTGAATGAGCCCTGGTTTAATTTTTAACTTGAATTCTATTTAAAAGGGCAACACCACACTGCAGCAACATGGAACTACGCCAAGAAGAAGAAGAATACCTCTTCCAGGTTTTCGAGGATAATGGATATCCAAAAAACTGGGTCAGAAGATGCCTACACGAACAACATCAGAAAGATACTACACGCCCCGACACACTCACCACACTACCCTACATCAGGAACACGTCAGAACTGACCACAAGACTCCTACGATCGCTGGGCATCAGAGTGGCACACAAACCCACATCAACCCTACGACAAGTGCTCACCTGAACTAAAGACCCACTCCCCGCCATGGACAGGACCAATGTCATCTACAAGATCCCCTGCAGAGACTGGGAGAAACACTACATCGGACAAACAGGAAGGAAACTAACAACAAGAGTACGTGAAGACCAACTGGCTACAAAAAGACACGACCAATACTCACTCATCTCAATCCACATGGACAAGGAGAACCACCACTTCAACTGGGACAACACCAAGATCCTGGGACAAGCTAGGCAGAGACAGGCATGGGAATTCCTAGAAGTCTGGCACTCCATGAAACATGCTATTAATAAACACATTGAACTCGACCCCATATACATTCCACTACAAAGGAAACCTGGAAGTGAGGCAATCCATCTCAACGGACTCCAGAGTTTAAAAACCAGGTGGGAAAACACACCGATGCTTCATCGGAGGCTGCACTGATGATGTTACCCAGCAGGGTATTGAAACGTCTGCGAAACAACAAACCAGCTTGGAGAGCCAACCAACTTTTAACTTGAACACTTTGGTATTTTCTAATACGAGCTAATGGAACTAACAAGTTTGCATTGATTCAATGGGCCAAATAGCCTCATTACGGCCATAAATCAGAGGAGGTGATGGTATAGTAGTATTATCACTAGACTATTAAACCAGAGACCCAACTAATATCCTGGGGAGGGTTGGAATCCCGCCACGGTAGATAGTGGAATTTGAATTCAATTTTAATAAAAAATGGAATTAAGAATCTAATGATGACCATGAATCCATTGCTGGTTGTTGGAAAAACCCATCTGGTTCACTAATGTCCTTTAGGGAAGGAAACTGCCATCCTTACCTGGTCTGGCCTACACGTGACTCCAGACCCACAGCGATGTGGTTGACTCTGAACCGCCCTCTGGGCAATTAGGGATGGGCAATAATTGCTGCCTGGCCAGCGATGTCCTTATTCCATAAACGAAAGAAAAGACTCTAAAACCCCAGGAATATAGCCATACCCTACTGTTAAATGTTCCAAGTACAAATTTTGTAACTTGCCAGTTAAATACATCTACTTAGCATTGTTTCTCAATGCTTCAGAAATCAGGACCGAAATAACTGCAGATGCTGTATATCAGGAACAAAAACATAAATTGCTGGAAAAGCTCAGCAGGTCTGGCAGCATCTGTAAAGAAAAATCTGAGGGGTTCTGAGGAAGGGTCACCGAACCCGAAACATTAACTCTGTATTTTACTTCACAGATGCTGCCAGATCTGCTGGGCTTTTGCAGAAACTTCTGTTTTTGCTTCAGAAATCATGCGTGTGCAATAAGTTTTTCCTCTCTGTTTAATGTGTACTCACCATTCACTTGAAACTCACTGACCAGGAGACTAAGGCAGGTAACCTGTCCCTGCTGAGAGAGCGGCATCCTACCAGCAGCCAGCTCACTGCCTGCTCTCAGCTCAGTTTATTCCTTTGCAGAGAAGGGCCTGTGATCAGGGCTGTATGTAAACAGCTTCACAGATAGGTCTGAAACAAAAACACAAACTGCTGGACAAACTCATCTCATCTGGCAGAATCTGTGGAGATAGAAACCGTCTTAATGTTTCGAGTCCAGTGACGTTAATTCTGTTTCTCCTTGCTCCACACAGATGTTGCCAGACCTGTTGAGTTTTTCCAGCAACTCCTGCTTTTGTGCCTCTGTATCTATACGTAATAAATCAAACAGTTCAGTCAGTTCGGGTCTTCACCTTTTAAGTTCCAGGGAATACAACACTCAATTCTGTAATCGCTCCTCCTCACTTAACCTTTGTTAATTTGACATTTTTCTTATTCATTCACGGGATGAGGGCGTCTCTGGCCAGGCAGCATTTATTGCCCATCCCTAATTGCCCAGAGGGCACTTCAGAGTCAACCACATTGCTGTGGGTCTGGAGTCACGTGTAGGCCAGACTGGGTAAGGATGGCAGTTTCCTTCCTTAAAGGACATTAGTGAACCAGATGTTTTTTTCCCTCAACAATCAACAATGGATTCATGGTCATCAGTAGACCCTTAATTCTAGAGATAGTAAGAACTGCTGATGCTGGCGTCAGAGATAACACAGTGTGGAGCTGGAGGAACACAGCAGGCCAGGCAGCATCAGAGGAGCAGGTAAGTTGACGTTTTGGATCGGGACCCTTCTTCAGAAATGGGGGAGGGGGAAGGGAGCTCCAAAATAAATAGAGAGAGGGGTGGGGCTGGGGAAGGTGGGGTGGGATGGTGATAGGTGAGTGCAGGTAGGGAGTGGTCAGTGGGATGGGTGGGGTGGATAGGTTGGAGAGAAGATGGACAGGTTGTGTCAGATCAAGGAGGGGGGTTTGGTCATGGATTGAGAGATTATGAAACTGGTTAATTCCAGATATTTATTGAATTCAAATTCTACCATCTGCCATGGCAGGATTCAAACCCAGGTCCCCAGAACATTATCTTGGTCTCTAGGTTAACAGTCCAGTGATAACACCACTAGGCCCTGGTTTCTGGTTTAAGAAAGTGAGGATTGCGGGAGACAAATAGACAGAGATTATAGAGAATGCATCTCAGTGAGATGGAGCTGAGAGTCAGCTGAAGGGCAGAGGAACAGACCAGCCCTGTGCAGGTCATGCCCCTGCACCCCCCACCTCGGTTACAAGTTCCCTCCTACGCTCTCTCCCACACTATTAAATTTCCCTGGCTTCCAGAGAGAGAGAGAGAGAGAGAGAGAGATATTGCATTACTCATCACAAAGTTCAAGCTGGCTTTTATATTACCTACACCGATTACACTCCTGGCCCGCGAGCCTGCTCTCTGCAACCACAGCATCTTTCCTCAGGTTTCACTTGGAAACTTCCAGACTTCTCTGCGCTTCAAAATTTTGTTTCTTCATAGGATTACACAGTCAGACTCAGCCTCCTGGGCCTCCGAGCCCTGAATCTGCTCCCTGATCCCCTCGGTCTCTCTCTCTCTCCCTCACTTTCCTCCTTAAATACTTTCCTTAAAACCTCACTTACGACCAAGGTTTTGCTCATCTTCCAGGATATCTCCTTACGTGACCTGCTGGAAGATTGTGTTTGCTCCTGTGGTACATCCTGGGATATTTAACTTCCCTTACGGCGCTAAATCAATGCAAGTCATTGTTCTCTTCACCAAATCACAGCACTACTGTTATCTGATAACTGCATTAACTATCCTACTGCAGAGTTAACGTTTCGAGTCCAGTGACCCTTCTTCAGGACAGTTCTGGGCTCTGAACTTGAAACATTAACTCTGTTTCTCTCTCCACAAATGCTGTCAGACCTGCTGAGCCTTTTCAGCAGTTTTTGTTTTTGGTTCAGATTTCCCGCTGTTCTTTGTTTTATTATCAAGTTCAATAGTGCCTGCTGATTGGTGTAATTAAAGCAGATCATTCTTCATTATGAATGGCTACATCATGATAAACTTCAAAATGCCACAGAGGCTCAGCATGTCATAATAAATTCCCTGAGGAGGCGATGGCACAGTGGTATTGGTGCTAAACTACAATTCCAGAGGCCCAGGTAATATTTGAGGAGTCCTACTATGGAATATGAATTCTTTTTAAACAATCTGGACTGAAAGATTGAGTGATTACCATGAAACCATTGTCAGTGGAAGAAAAGCCCAACTGGTTCAGGGATAGACATTGCTGTCCTCAAAGCTCAGGGCACCTGCCTCCAAAGTGCAGTGGGGGGTCTGAGGTCTTTCTGCCAAAATTAAATGGGGGTCCATTCATTTATTGGACCCTCCCAGTGCCTCAAATACATGTAAATATGTACATGTGTAAGGGATGTCTTTGGTTTGTTTGGATAGAGTCAAACTTCAATCCACCAACACTTCCGCCATCTGCAATCTGACCCCACCACCAAAGACATTTTTCCCTCCCCACCCTTATCTGCTTTCCGGAGGGACCACTCTCTCCGTGACTCCCTTGTCCGCTCCACACTCCCCTCCAGCCCCACCACACCCGGCACTTTTCCCTGCAACCGCAGGAAGTGCTACACCTGCCCCCATACCTCCTCCCTCACCCCCATCCCAGGCCCCAAGAAGACTTTCCACATCAAGCAGATGTTCACCTGCACATCTGCTAATGTGGTATACTGCATCCGCTGTAGCTGGTGTGGCCTCTTCTACATCGGGGAAACCAAGCGGAGGCCTGGGGACAGTTTTGCATTACACCTACGCTCGGTTCGCAATAAACAACTGCACCTCCCAGTCGCGAACCATTTCAACTCCCCCTCCCATTCCTCAGACGACATGTCCATCCTGGGCCTCCTGCAGTGCTACAACGATGCCACCCGAAGGTTGCAGGAACAGCAACTCATATTCCGCTTGGGAACCCTGCAGCCCAATGGTATCAATGTGGACTTCACAAGCTTCAAAAAACCCCCCAAAAAACCAGCCCAGCTCGTCCCCGCCTCCCTAACCTGTCCTTCCTCCCACCTATCCCCTCCTCCCACCTCAAGCCGCACCTCCATCTCCTACCTACTAACCTCATCCCGTCCCCTTGACCTGTCCGTCCTCCCTGGACTGACCTATCTCCTCCCTAACTCCCCACCTACACTCACCTTTACTGGCTCCATCCCCGCCTCTTTGACCTGTCTGTTTCCTCTCCACCTATCTTCTCCTCTATCCATCTTCTATCCGCCTCCCCCTCTCTCCCTATTTATTTCAGAACTCCCTTCCCCTCCCCCATTTCTGAAGAAGGGTCTAGGCCCGAAACGTCAGCCTTCCTGCTCCTCTGATGCTGCTTGGCCTGCTGTGTTCATCCAGCTCTACACCTTGTTATCTCAGATTCTCCAGCATCTGCAGTTCCTGCTATCTCTGAAACTCCAATGTTTGTTTGTTTCTATGATACGCTACTGTACAGAACCAAGCGAGTTTGTGACTACATATACATATAAAGATACGTTTTATGAATAAAGCATATTTTGAAATTTTAAAAAAAGTCTGGCCTACACATGACTCCAGATCCACAGCTATACGGCTGAGTTTTATCTTAGGCACGGGCAGTAAATGCTGTCTCAGCCAGCAAAATCCACATCCTGTGAATGAATAAAAAGATGTGGCCAACAGGGAGAAAGAGAGACATGTGCCAAAAATAGACATGAGAGAGGGGAGGAGAGACAGAGGGTGGGAAAGAGAGGGAGAAATAGCAAAATGGAGAGAGGGTAATGTACAAAAAGAAGTTGGATAAAGAAAAGTGAGTGACAGGTACACACATACACTCTCTATCACACACACTCACACACACGTATACACACACACACTCTCACACATGTGTACACACGCACTCGTACACAAACACACTCTGAAACACAAACACACGTACACATGTACACTCATATATATACATACACATGTACACGCGTGCACATACACATGCATGTACATGCACACACATTACACACACGCGTACATAAACACATGCACGAACGCACACACACACATGCAAACACACACATACACAAACACATGTACACACACACACACACACACACACACAGGTATACACACGTACACACACACACTCATACAGACACGTACACGTACACATACTCGCACACACACAGACACATAAACACACGCTGGTACACACACAAGAACACAAACACATAGATACACACACGTACAGAAACACACACATACACACACGTGCGCGCGTACATACATACACGTACACACTCTCACACGTACACACGTATATGCATATACACACAGATACACACACGTATACACACACACACGTACACATACACACACACACATGTACACACAAACACGTACACATGTACACACAAACACGTACACACACAAATACGCACACACGTACACACAGACACAAACACGGACACACACACATGTACATACACACATGTAAACACACACACGTACACACACACACAGTGCTAATTCCTGAAACTCCTGATTACTCGGTTAGTTGCTATGGAGATCAAGTTGTTACCTGCAACTCCAGTGGGATTTCCTCCCAACCAAGCAGCTCCTGAATTCTCACTGCTTTCTCCTGG